TGACAGAAGCGAGCACAAGAAAGTAACATGTCTATATCAGAGAGAGCTGGCACACGTCGCAATCATTACTTACGCAGGTTATTGTGTGCAGATTGACCGGTTGCGGTCGGACTTCCATTTATTGAGAAGTCACTTTGCCAGACGTTTGAGAGGCGCGGGGCGCTAAGAGACCAGAAGAAATAAGCCTTGGAGGATGGAGATTGGAATGATCAAGAAAACGACAGGAATATAATACTTGATTTGGGATTGATAGCAGATGCTTTAATGGAATTACCCGCGCTGATTTCGAAGCAGCTATCAGCACAAACAACGTCTCATCCCACCATTTGTACCAGAAAGGGAATTCTACTCAGAATTAGCCGTCTGTCCCCATCTGCCATTGCAGGGCTGGTTCACTGATGGACTGATATCGACTATCCCTTCGCTTCCATTTCGCGTTGGACCGGGCGGTGAGAACATCAACTGGTTTCAACCTCTTTGCTGCATACTTTTATCCTGCCTTCGCTTTTGCGGCTTCGAGACAGCAGTTATTATCCAAAATTGTCAGGAACAATAGAAACATATCAAGGTGAAGAATGGAAATTCTCTGTCATCTTCATCTCCAGTAGCTGTCTCAGTCGACCTTGAATAGAACAGAGCATACGTGACAATAGAGTAATCCCTTGATTCTCTCTTTTTTTTTTTTTTTTGTCACATTTTATTTTTTCCCTTTCTGATTTTCGCCATTTCCTCCTGTTCTTGGCAACCGCGGAAAACATGGATAGCCTTTGATTGATTGCTCGATTTGACTCGACGTGAGATTATTTTCCTGAAGCCTTTCTTCGCTTTTGCCTTCATTTTCTCCTTCCCTCCCCCATCTCCGGTTCTCAACCCAACAACACCCCAACGCACACTTCGTCTATCAATATTTATAGGGAACACCTGTGTTCCGCTCGCTGGCTCCTAAAGATTCTGCTCTTCGGTCCGTGTCGTCATGTCCTCTCATGACAACGCGGACTCACCCTCATCGTCTGTAGCAAATGCGGTGACCGCGATGAAGATTGAGCAGCATGACGATGCCGCAGAGATGCTCCTCTCCAACGGCGGAGACGCCGTTCTGAAACATGATCCCAACGGGTTATCAGACCACACAGTCACCACCAAAGATTACCCCGAGATGGATGATCTGGCTTCATCCGCTATCAAATCGCGGACTTCATCTCTACCTCCAATCAAATCCGAAAATGGAGATTCCACAGCAAAGGAAGAGAAAGTCGGGGGCGATATCACTGTCAAGTTGGAACCCGGTCAGCCTCCCAAGTTATCGCGCAGCTCTTCGCAGAAGGTCGTGGCGCAACCCCCTCAGCTGTTTCTGCATTTGCCGGACAGCACTGCGGAGGCACAATCGAGCTTTGAAGTGATGGAAACTTGTACCTATGCCAATAAATACATGGGTTATACTGAGCATGCCATGGAATGCGATTGTGCTGAGGAATGGGGTAAGTTAAGCTTTTTCTTTCTCTATCCTTTCTTCAATCTCTTATGGTTATTGCTCTTCACTACGATTTTCGCTTGTCGGGGTGGTCCCCCTCCTTTTCTCCGACGCGCGTTGCTGGGTCCCTTGCCAAAGGAATAGGGGGCAAGGGGAAAAAAAGGAAAAAAATAAAAAAAATAAAAAAATAAAAATGAGAAAGAGACCAAACGCCGGGTGATCAGAAAGAAAAAAGTGTCTTCACTTCATATTTTTTAACACCTTCTATTCCGCACATACCCGTGTTCGCCAGGACCCCTCTAACTCGTTTGAGCAGAGCCGTCGTTGTCCAGGAATCTGGCATGTGGAGAAGATTCTGATTGTATCAATCGCGCTACCAAAATTGAGTGCGTGGGTGACTGCAGCTGCGGTGCTGAATGCCAGAATCAACGATTCCAGCGCAAAGAGTATGCAAATGTCGCGGTCATCAAGACAGAAAAGAAAGGGTTCGGTCTTCGTGCTGAGACCGATCTGCGACCGCACCAATTCATCTTCGAGTATGTCGGCGAAGTCATCAACGAGGCTCAATTCCGACGACGCATGAGACAGTACGATGAAGAAGGGATCAAGCACTTTTATTTCATGTCCCTCAGTAGAGGAGAATTTGTCGATGCGACGAAGAAGGGTAACCTGGGTCGTTTCTGCAACCACTCATGTAATCCGAACTGCTACGTCGATAAATGGGTTGTGGGTGAGAAACTGCGTATGGGAATCTTTGCCGAAAGGGCTATTCAAGCCGGCGAAGAACTCGTTTTCAATTATAACGTCGATCGTTATGGCGCGGATCCTCAACCATGCTACTGTGGCGAACCGAATTGCACTGGCTTTATTGGAGGAAAGACTCAGACCGATCGTGCTACCAAACTATCGAATGCCACCATTGAAGCTTTGGGTATCGAAGATGCTGAAAGCTGGGACACTGCTGTTGCGAAACGGCCACGAAAGAAGAAGATGGGCGAGGATGATGAGGAGTATGTTGATAGCGTACAGCCTAAGTCTCTAGAGGAGAGCGGCGTCACCAAGGTCATGGCTGCCCTCATGCAATGCAAAGAAAAATGGATTGCTGTCAAGTTGCTGAGGCGGATCGAGCGCTGTGACGATGAAAGAGTCCGCCATCGTGTGGTGAAGATGCATGGCTACCAGATCCTGAATTCCCAACTCGCCTTATGGAAGGAGGACTTCAATGTTGTGTTGCAGATCCTCGATATCCTGGACAAGTTTCCACGTCTTACACGGAACAAGATTATTGATTCAAAGATCGAATCCACCGTCCAGCCGCTGACAACTTGTGGAGATGAGCGAGTCGAGCAGAAGGCAACAGCACTTTTGCAGCACTGGGCGACTCTGGAGGTTGGATACCGTATCCCTCGCATGAAGCGAGATCCGAATACAGTCGCTTCAGTCAGCCAGTTTGGGCGGAGAGAACACAGTAATGACGAGCAGAAACGATCTCGATCTCGTTCGCGATCGAGATCCCGGTCGTTGGATGCTCCTCGAGGGCCAGCGAATCCAGGTCGGAAGAGCAATGGCCCCAGGAATTCCCAGCATCACGGTGCCCGCCAGTTCCGCCGCCAATTCAATCCTCTGCCTCCGGGATGGTTCGCAGCCGAATCACACGGCAGGACATATTATTACTGCGCCCGTGGGGATGTCACCTGGACTCGGCCGATTCATGCCGCACCTGAGGCTGATGTCCCAGGCCACCAGGCGAAGAATAAAGCCCTACAAGGTATCATCGACGGTATCTTGAATGCTAAGGAGAACACGCCGAAGGAGAAGACTGCCACACCTGGCACGCCGCAAGCTTCTAGAGAAACGGCGAGTTTCAGTGAAGGGCAGGAGAAATGGAGAAATTACAGTGAAGAGAAACAGAAGAAACTGTATGAGAACACGGTAAGCCCAACCCCCAAGAGCAGCTGTCGTTATCCTTGAGTACAGATGGCCTGACTTATGCAGCTTTTCCCTCATATCAAATACGTTGTGGACAAATTTAAACACAAGCTTCCGAAAGAGGATCTGAAGCGCTATGCTAAGGATGTGAGTCAGCCCATCGAGCCGTTCCATATGCCAGACCTAGTACGTGCGCTAATCCGCGCATCTTGCCTTTCATTAGGTCGCCAAGAAGCTCGTCAACTCCGATTTCAAAAACAATCGCGTGGAAGATCCGACGAAGATTAGCGAAAAGCAACAAAAGAAAGTCAAGGCATTCTGCAAGGAATTTTTTGACAAGGCTGTTGCGAAGCACCGTGCTTACGAGCAGAGAAAGGCCGAGAAGCAGGCAAAGGGAGGTGACTCGAAAGCAGAAGAAATGACCAATGGCCACAACACCATTGAAGATGTCGACGTGAAACTGTCTGATGGCGAAGCAGAGAAGGTTGAAGAGAACGATACCTTCAGGGACAGCGATCCGCAAGGTTTCCTCAAGCGCAAGAGGGAAGACGAAGTGGATGCTGGTGAAGGAACTGCTGAAGAAGCGATGAAGAGGCAGAAGTCATCAACACCCATACCTCCTCCCCCACCGCCACCGCCTCCTCTAGGTGATGATGAGCAAACCACACCAAATGACACCGGCGAATATTACTTCCAGACTGAGAATGGCGATTCAATGCTGCATAGCCCGGAGACTGCGCCAACCCCTCCTCCCCCGCCACCCTTGTCAACGGAGCACAGTGATAACGATGAATCGGGCCGATCTCACAGTATGAGCAATCATCTGTTGGAACAGGAAACTTCCCCTGCCCCTTTGCCAGGAGAGGAGTACGACGCCGACTCGGGAAAGTTTCCATCAAATCAAATCGGTATCGAGGGCCAAGTATAACCGGATGCCGTCGGCTTGCATTCAGGGTCTCTTTTCTTGTCTCAGCCCAGGATTAGGCCGGATTGGTGTTACATGGCATGGCGTTCAGTCTTCTTTTCTTTCTTTTCCTCTTCAATATCATGCGTACCATTTGGAAGGTCCGTCAAGTTTGTCATTTTTACAGCTGGAATCTTATCTCTTTTCACAATACCCCCCTTTGTCCATATCTTTCAGGGATTCATCTTCATCTGCATATTGCGCGATGCGGCAGGAAACAGAAAACAAGGAAGTGATCTGGAATTGTACAACTAGCCTGAATTTTTCTTTTCAATTTCATTCTTGCTTCTATGCAAGTCACTCGTATTATTACTTTTGCTGTCTTTATTTTTTTTTTTTTTTTTTGGTCTCGACTCCGTCTACTAGAGACTGGAAGATGTTCCTTCGATCAACCTCGATGGTTATGAAACGCAATGCCGGACGATATCGATGCAAAATTGATAAAAATCATCCTCCATTCTCCTGAAGGGTGATCTATATTCTGTAGACACCAGAATTTAAACATTCCACTGATCTAAATGACCCATTTCAGGGGATTTACACCATAACCATAATCACGTGAGGGGGGTACATGAGGACACGGAAATAAAAGGTAAAGAGGAGACAAAAGAACAAGTAGGAAACTGATTGGCCGGTTTAGTAGAAACTCTCCACGATACTCTCCTTGTTGACATTGCCCATCCCCAGACCGCGAGGACCCATCTCGCCCAGCCGGAAGACAGACTCGACCACACTCAACTCGGTCGCGGTGGTGTCGAGACCGGTGACGGCCAGCCAGTCGTTAACGACCATGCCGGCGCCGACGACAGGGCTGCCGCGGTTGACACTGCCCGCGACGAGGGGCACCTGGAGTAGGGAGGAGAGCTCATCCTGATCCCGGACGGAGGTTTTGGGGTGGACGATACCGCCCTGGTTGGAGAGGGCCATGTACGAGCCCGTCAGCACGTTATCGGCGATGGTTTGCCGGAAGACTTCGACGCCGAGGACGTCTGCGATTCTGTTTTTGGGTCAGTGTTAGTGGCAGTTTATTCCCGCCGTTTTCTCTCTTTTCCATTTCCCCACGGGTAAGGACGGAAGGGCGCTCAAAACGTACATTTCCTCTGTTTCCCGCTCAAGATCCGGATGCACCAATGCTACATGGTCATTGCAGCAGATGACATTACCCAGCGCCGAGAGCCGCTCCTCTATCCGTTGGATCTTCACATCGTCTGGCAGCGTATTCCGCAGATGTTGCAGTTCCTGGTCTGTTGTCGTTGTGGGGACGAGAAGGCCTTTACGGTTACTGTTTGAATCATCCAGACTGTCAGCTCCAAGGTTCTTCTCACCGCTCGCCCCTGGGTTTCGTTGCTTTTGGGGGGGCGCTAAACAAAGACAAAGACATACCCCGCTGTTAGACGACCGACGATCCGGGTGCCGGCAATAGTAGCATGACAGATGGGGATGACATCCTGGAGTTCCGCCTCGAATACACTAATGATTTCAAAGTTATCTGTCAGAAGGGCCTGCTCGCAAGGTGACTCTCGGAAGCATGAGTAGCGCACCTGTAGAAGTTCTCTGAAGCGCCGATGGCGACAATCGCATATGAGTTGGTCAGGCGGGCAAAGACGCCGACTCTGCAAGAGTGAAAATGCAAGTTAGTCCTCTCCCATAACTCCAAAAGAAGACACAAAAACAACCTTGGAGAGAAATGGGCCGCGCCTACTTACTCGTTGGAGTTTTCAAATTGCGCGCGGACTGCCATTGTGCGAGAATCCCGTGGCTTTCTAGATAGCTGGTTTCAAAAATGATTGAGAGTAGGTACTCTGGACACCCAGGCAAACGACGGAAATAGAAGAGCGTTCGTGTGAGACTGCAAGCGAAAGCTCTGCGAAGCCGGGTGACGTTGATAGTTGAGGGGAAGTTCGGAGGAAGAACCGGCGTGGGTAGAAGAACGAAAAGGATAACCCCCCAGCTTTCTTCGCCGAGCGTAAGTAACTGAACTTTGGAATATAGATTTCTGGGTGTTCGCAACGAAGAAACGAATATTGCCGCTCACGAGGAAAGTATTTGAAGCCCAAGAAAAGATTATCAAAAAGGCCCGTCGAATCGCCCCGCTCTGGTGTAGACTAGACCCAATCGGGGCGGAGGAGGAGTCACCGAAAACGAGTCATCAAGAGTCATTCTTCTTCGGCCCCATAGATAGATACTCCGTAGCTACAGTCAGCGTCAACACGGTCGGTCATTGCGCCCTCCAAGTGGCTCATCATTACGGTCCTTGGCGCACATTCGGTCCAGAATTGGCAGCGCACTACGACCCTCGTGGCGCTCTTTGCCGACTCCCCTTCCTTATTCCTGTATACCAGTTCAGTTGCCTGCCGAATAGTACGAGAACAGTACATGAATAGTTCCAGGGATCTACCTATTAAGTATGGTACATCTTTCAATCCAGAGAACCCCCATATGAATACAGAGAACAAAATCAACCAAAGTCTCAGATTGATCGTAGAACACGACATTTTCTCATTCCAATGGGCCCGCCATGGATGACGCTCTCTGGTTGAAAATTAAATAACGCATCAAACACAAAATATGCTAGTCACAATGGTCTATCTCTCATATGAGTCCATGGATATATGCAACAATGTCGTTCAATGAGGACAACCCGATCCATGCCAACGTCTGGCCGAAAGGTCATAAACCAAGCATAACGGCCCAGAGTCAGGAACTTTAACCCCAAGAATCCATAAAAGAGCAGAAGGTGAAGCCCAACCATGGAGAAGGAAAGTATGCAAGGAAACAGGGAACAAGTGGCCGAGACCACCACCTAACCCCGTGGAAAACAAAACTCACTGCTGCTCCCTTTCCCTTTCTTTCTCCGACACTGCCGTTTAGAAGGGAGGTCGAGGGCCTGATGGAGGCGGTCCCGTAGGGCCCGGAGGAGGCGGGTGTGTGTAGTACAGGGGTGGGGGAGGAGGTCCGGATAGGAAGCCAGGCAGGGGAGGACGCTGAAAGTTGGAGCCTGGAGGAGGGGGCAGTTGGGGAGGGCCGTTTCTGGCGGCAAAAGGGTCCGGTAATTGCCCAGCGGGCAGCAACCGACGCGGATGCTGCCGCTGCGGATTTGGAGGCGGTAGCACAAAGGCTCGCGGATCTGTTGGGCCTTGGATCCCAGGAAGCTGAGGATGTTGGAGAGGTTGTGGGAGGATAGCGCGGTGCGCTGGGGCTCGTGGCGTCATGGCCGCTCTGGGTAAAGGCAAGGGGGAAGCGGTTGCGGCGTCGGCCAGGGCGTATAAAGCCTCAGCCCGCGACTCTGGTATTGGAGCGAGTACCTTGTTACTCTCCGCCGTAGCGTCGTCTCGCGTTTGAACCACCCCCGTCGCTTCAATGATCATGTTAAGAACATCATGTGCTGAGAGACCTTTGAACGGTACCGCTTCTTCCATGTCGTTCATCTGCGGCTCAATGTCCCCTCCCAGCTTCGCTCGCTGAACGAAATCCTCCCAGCCATTCAGGGCACGCTCGTACAGAGCAGCACCAGCAGGGTTGCGCACAAAGGATGAATAGTATCCCCTCTTCATCTCTCTGGCAGGTGGACGAATACGTCCACGGCCAACCTCCGTTTCGGATTCATCCGTCTGCAAGACAACGAGTTAACCCAGTCTCCTTCACATGTCAGATATAGTTCGGAATGACTAACCTCAGTGTGTTCATCATCCTCTGCAGCACGACGGCCCTCGACGAATGCCATGTACGCCCCCTGACTTGCAAGAAGATGTTCCTGTTGAATTTCACACGCTTTCCTCTGTATGATACGGCGCTTAGCATCTGGATCTCCTTAGGAATGAGAACAAAGCGGCAAGAACTTACCCGAAATTGTATCTCAAGATTCTCCTTCTCAAGAGAAAGAACCCGGTTCGCATTTGCTACCTTATATTCGTATTCTCGGCGCAATATCTCCCTGTGTCTCTCTAATCTCTCCTGTAGTTGCTGGTTGACCTCGTCAAACTCCGGCACTTTCTTATGGGCGTTCTTATCCCGCGCAAGCTTGCGCTGAGAATGCTCGGCTAGCACAGACAAAGCCAGTCGCTGGGCGGCTGCTACCTTCTTGAACGCCTTGTCAAGTTCCCTTTGGCGGTCCCGCATCTTCTGTGTGGCTGGAGTCGGCGAAGGAGAACGCAGAGGCTCGGGTTCTGGCCCAGAATCCTGGTCATTGTCGCCATCCGCTTTGCGCCCCCGTTTTCGGCTTTTACCCTTTCCCTTTCCTTTACCTGGTCCTTTGGGTTTTCCTTTCCCTTTCTGCACTCCCCCGCCGCGCGTTGAGGCTCCCATGCTGCCGCCTCCACGGCCACGGCCACGACCACGGCCCCGTCCACTGCTGACCGTAAATTCGACACCATTTTCAGAAGCTGGTTCTTCAACCTCTTCTGTGATTTGACGAGACTCAGACTCATCACCTGCCGCCGATTCTCTAGCAGCGGTGGTATCATTATCCGCAGCATCAGCAACATCAATACTCCCATCGCTAGCATTGACAGCGGAGAACACAGGAAGTTCAGCACCCAGAGCATCGGGAACTTCGGCATCGGCAGCAACAGATATGGTAGCTCGGGCCTTGAGAGCATCATTCTCGGAGGCTTCGACCTCGCCCTCGGCAGAAATAGCATCTACGTTGCCAGGGGACTGGGACTGCGGTGCTGCTTTGTCATCAACGTTATTCTCGGTGCGTTCCTGTAACTGCTGGTCCAACGAGCGGTCCAGGTCTGGGTTCTCCACTTTCGGCTTCTTGCGTGGGGAATTAGAAGAGCGCATGAGCTCCCCAGCGAGGCCGTCATCGGGCTCAGGACTTTTCCGTTTTAGTGACTTTGGTGGGACAGTCATGGATTCGTGCTTTTCCTCACTTTCCATGCCCGAGGATTCGCTCTCTTTGTTCTCGATGTCATCAGAACCGTTGTCCTTCGATGAATCTTCATCAACTAGTTCAGACATCTGATCTTTTGTGGACAGCTGCGAAGCAACGGAACCCAGAGGGCTGATGTTCTCATCGCTTCTTACCGCATTCATTTTCGAGGGAGAGGAAGTGATTCTTGTTGAGTCGTCAGTCTTCTGGTCAAGGCTGCTGACCATCTGTCTGCTCCGTGTCCGCGTCCGGCCACCAGGAGCCATGCCGGCGGATGGGCTGCCATCAGGCTGTTTGACCTCAGCTTGAGAGTTAGAGAAAGATTTGTCGGTGGAACTAAGGGGTTGGAGATTGCCCCTAAGTCTTGCAGACTGCCTCGTCGTCCTCGGCGTCTCTTCAACGGTAGGAGCTCGTTTGACGCGCTTGTGCCGGGGGGTCTCTGGAACATTCGCCGGTGCTACGCTGTCGGCCGCAGCTGGAGCTGGAGCAGAGGGGGGTGCGGGCACAGAGGGCACAGCGGGACCAGCTGCGGCCGCAGCAGCAGCACGTGCTCGAGAGGTGCGAGTCTCACGGACGGGGTTGGCAGTGGTGGTAGCAGTATCGGCTGCGGGAGCATTGCTTGCTTGAGCTTCGCGGAGACTGTTGGCCTGAGCCTGACGGGCACTATTGGCTCTAGCAGTGCGGGTGCTCAGCGTAATAATGCGTGACGGGCGACCATTATTTAGGTTGTTGTGAGTGGTATTGTTAGCAGATGATGGGGTGCTCGGAATGTTCATATTATGAGCACGAGCATCTCGGCTAGCCCGAGCGCTCCTGGTGATACGAATGTTGGAGTTGTCCTCTATGAGAGGATCTATAGAAAAATTAGAAATCGGCAACCGTCAGGATTAAACAGCCAAGCCCTTACCAGCTGAGGTGGTCATGTGCCCTGGCGATGTAGCGCTAGCGCCAGGCGTCGCTCCCTGAGAAGCTTCAACTTTACGCTTGGCACCCGCCATCTCTGTCTGCTAGATATTGATCAGTCACCGACACTATCCAAATTAATGTGACTCAGGGCAAACAGAGAGAAAATGTGGGTATAAGCGGGCTGCTGGGTCTATGAAACAAGGGGGAGAAAGCTCAAAAGCATGGTCTGAAGTGAGCTCAATGAAAAGAGAGGATATAGAGACACTAAGATGCCAACGAAGCGAGAGGTTTTCCAGAGCAGCCATTCGGAAGAACAACGAATAAAATGAGCACATATGAAGACCGATGCGAAAGAGACAGAAACTTATCGGGAGATCCAACCTATACCAGAATTCTGATAAAGGAAAGGACGGCTAAAGTGCATTGAGATTTTATCACGGCAAGGCAGACCGTGCAAAAACAAGCACTGAAGAGATGCAGGGATGCAAGGATGGGTGAATAACAAAGGGGGGCTAATGAGAAAAAGCAAGAAAAGATACAGATTGAGGGCTACAAGAGGAACTTCACGAACTTACCTGGCGTAAAAACAGTAGAAGCGAGGTGGGCCGGCGATGAAGTCGACTGCTGGTCAAATATCGTGTCGTGATAGTAAGTGCAGGAGGTAATAGATAGTAGATGGCCAAAGTGTAGGTACTCAGTAGTAGGGGCGGTGATCGTAGTTGTGGTAATAGCAGGTAAGGTGATGGGTACACTGTGGGTAAGGGAGATAACAGCAATGCCAGTATGTAGTAAGGTAGTAATAGGAGGAGGAGGAAGAGGTAAGAGCAGAAGCAAATGTAGGTAGTAATAGTAGATCGATGATCGTATAGATAGTAGTAGTAGGATGGGGAAGAACAAAGTAAAAGCGAGGTGCGGCCAAGTGGATCAACAGTGGAAGTGGGAAAAAGTAAAGATGGCGTTGG